CCTCATTAATAAGCAAGCAAAGAAAATTACTGGAGAGGCTAAAAATGACCACTCCTTTGGCCAGTATCATTTTACACATCTGTCATTATTTGTCCATATAAGTGTCATCCCTAGAAAGGGTATCTGGAGATCACTTTCAGTTCTTACTCATTTGGAAATAATTTATATTTGTTTTATGCTTTCAGGTTACTAATTATTCTTATGACAGTTATCATTTGATCCTTATAATATTCAATAGCTAAGAGTTGTTATACTCATTTTTCTCTTGAGAAAACAGATTTTTAAAACTTTAGACTTTTTCAGGTGACATAGCTCGCAAATGGGGAAAGCGAAGTTCTACTTCTGGATCTCTTCTCTCTAAATCTCTTGTGTTTTTCCATCTTTCTGTTCTCTTTCAAATAATTTATTTTACCTCTACAAGTTATTAATACTAGTTATTAAATTGGTATGACAAAAACGATGTTAGTATAAGAATGTCTTAAAAGCTGGGTTCAGTGATGCTTGTCTATAATTCCACCTACCAGAGGCTGAGTCAGGGGGATCAAAAGTTCAAGTCTAGCCTGGACAACTTAGACCTTGTCTCATAATAAAAATAAAAAAGACTGGGGATGTAGCTCAGTGGTAGAGCACTTGCATGTGCGAGGCCCAGGGTTTGATCCCTAGCACCCCCTCCCCCTCACACAAAATGTCTTGAAAAACTTACAAATTGAAGGCAGCTTGGGAAATCTTTAATATATGTACATTCTTCCCTGATACCTACTGGAATCAGAGCTCAACATTTTAGCCTTTAAACTTTGTAGAAACTCGTGGTTCAGATTTGTTGGGGTTATAGGAGAAAATACATAAAAATTTAGAATGAATACTAATAGCCTTTGATCCTTGGAAAGCAAATGAACCTCATATCACCTAACATCCTTTATATCGCTTATCATCTTGTATCTACTTGTATTATTTGGGTAACTACACATATATGACGAATACCAGCAATTATCTTTAATAACCTTTGGAAAGTACTGCTCGATACAGTATTTATTGGTTGCGTACGTGAATCATCCTCATTTTATAGAAGAGATAACCATTACTCAAGTTAAAACTTGTTGAAAATTTTTTAAGTAGAAAGTGGTAGAGTTGGATTAAAATCCTGTTTTTATTCTAAAGTGTGTAGCCATCTACCCTTGAGGGGTTTTTAATCTATATGTACACTGTGATGTTACCCCATGTTTCTGATTTCTTATCCAGTCTCTAAAAAACAATTACATTGCTTCTGATCCTTCCCATAACATATATTGGTAGATGATGGTTGTAATTTGAGCAATCTGAGTAAAAGAACTTTGTGAAAAAGAAGGTATATATTATGGACATAAAAATTTTCCAAATAACATAAGTAAGTTTTATACTGAAGTATATAGAATTCCCTATACATTTAGGGAATAGTTCTGCATATAGTTCCAGGCTATTTTCTATAATCAAACTTAATCTAGTAAGCCATTGGTGTATTTGGTTGTTTTACACACTTGTTAATGTGAAAAAGTAATTTGGTACTTTGAGAAACCATTAATTTGTTTCTCTACCCCTGAAGTCATTTGTTTGGTTTCTGCTTCCTTAATTGTTCAAGTGAAATGTAACTTTTGCTGGAGGCTTGTATCTATAATGCCACAGTGAATTATTTAACATTTGAGAGAAGTACTGATTTGGGAGCTTTTTAATTCACTTCCAAACTATTGGGATTTACATTGTTGGCCTTTTTCTCTCATAAACTTGACTTTGATGTCAACTAATGGGCCCTTAGTAAATCACCTAAGGGCCCAAAAGTGAGGTGTTTTCTTTTGTTTGGCCTAAGGATATAGCTGGTGCTGTGGATGTGTCTAGTGACTTGTCACATAGTGGCCAAGAGGGGTATAAGTTAGGCTAAACTGTAATAACTACACTTTGAAAAACAGTCAAGAGAACCACATTTATAAAAATGTACTATAAATATCCACCATAGCCTTTTACCGAGAAGACCATTAGTTTAGGGTTTATTTTACCAACCCTAACTTTTAAAATATTGATTGTAAAGCCACTCAAAAAAAGTATTACTAAAATTTCAAGTATCCCTAGCCATAATTGGGAAAAAATGCATACTATTTCCCATTCTATTAATGTAGAATATTTTTATTTTTGTACAAAAGATAAGGTCATTATAATATAAAATACATGGTATCAAAAATAAACTTTTCTAATTAACATGATTATTACATTAGAAATAGAAATTTTTAAGAAATTCAGGTGAATTTTTTTGACTAGTGGTCCAACTTTCTCAGTTGCTTTACAAGAACTGGCTCAGTTTTATCTTGTATAACTAGCATTTGAAAACAGACCACAAACTAAGAATATTTTCCTTCTACCTTCATTCCCTGAAATTTCCCAACACCTTCATTGTGGCAAAAGAGACTGTAACACGTATATTTCCTGTGTACCCAGCTAGGTACTCCCGGTATTATCTGGGTCTTATGACTGAGATGTAGGCAATAGAGTATGAGTAGAAGTGATACTATTTTCTGACCATAAAAATCTTGCATTTGTAATATTCCTTAAGCATATAATCTTGGAAGTGACACATTTAAGATGAAAGATAACTGTATCCCTATACCCTAGTAACTCACAATGTGACCTTTGGAAATAGATTTTTTTATAGAGGTACTCAAGTTAAAATGAGGCCATCAGAATAGGACCTAATCCAGTGTAACTGGAGTCCTTATAAAAAGGGAAAGTCTGATCACAGACACACTTATATACAGGGAGGATGCCCTGTGAACTAAAGATGGCCATCTATAAGCCAAGGAGAGAAGCCTGCCTGGAACAGAATTTTTCCTCACAATCCTAGCAAACTCACATAGTAGGGAATAGAGAAGAAGAGATGAGATAGGAAAGAAAAATTGAAATCAGATTGTTGAAATCAGGGCTCTATTGTGGAGAAACAGTGGGGAGCCATTCAAGAGACAGAGAATAGACTTGGAATCTGAAAATAGACTGCACCATGGACTAGCTGCTTCATGCTTCAGCATGTACTTCAGAGAATGATTTTTTTAAGAATTAAATGAGTAAGGACGGGAAATACATTTCCCAGTACATGCCTAGCATATAGGGGATGAGGCAGTGCTTCAACCCTGAACACGGAAAAAACAAACAAATGAATACCTTAGCTGCATTAATATATCTGTGCTATGAAACATAATTAGCTGATGCTTAGAAGATGATCCTGAGAACGGATGTCCAAAAGATAGAAAATCAGCCAGTGAGTTAGGCAAGAGTTGAGAAGGAAAACACGGATTTGGAGGAGGGCTGAGGGATTTTTGCCTGAAAGATTGGATAAAAATTGAACTATTCTCAGACCCATTAGGTCCTCTGATTTCATGCTCTTTTTTTCCGCCAAATTTCCCCAAGTCTGGCCCAGAGTTAAGGTCTAATTGTGTGCATTCAAACAAAAAGTCCCATTGTCAAATAAGCATGGGAATGTCAGGTAAATAACAGTTAAAAAGGTTTCTTCATTTCAGAATTCTCAGGAGTTATGTACATTTGGTGTACATCCTGAACCTCTAAGAAGATATGTCCTTTCCTGATTATTTGACTTCAGAACCCTTTAACTACTCTCAGCAGTGCATCTTATGGAATCCTGCAGAAGTTCGGTAAATATTATTTTATTTCAGAGTACCTAACTTTGAATCCTAATGGGAATTTTGTGAGGTAGAAATACACTTTCACCAATGAGAAAACAGGATCATAAAAGTGAACTGGCTTTCTGAGGTCCCAACATGAAGTGATCAAGTAGAGAAAGAAATATGTCATATTGATTTTAAGTTGCCTGAGTTCAAATCCTTATTCCATCACTTATTAGTTGTGTGACCCTAGACAAGTTAGGACAAGTTAGTCTCTCTGCTTCAAAGTTCTGTTGGGCAGATTAAA